CACCACAAAAAAAAAAAAAAAAAAAAAAAAAAAACGACATTCACTTGCTCTTTGTAATTTCTACATAAAAGCAGCTCCCAACATAAATTTGCAATTCAAAAACATTAATGCCACAAAGGTACCACAGCGCGAGATATAACTACTAGTTCCATCTCATGAGAAGGTATACTTTTGTTAAGGACCACAACCTTTGAAATATTTGTATATAATTCATAGATTCTCTTCCAAAGTCTTACAACTTTTCCAACAATCTTAAAACTAAATGCCTAAAAGTTATTAACCTGCACATTGTGTGCGTATGCAGCATGTATGTGTTCTTAGTGGTTTGTTTTTTTAAATCTTAAACAGTTTTAGAAAATACACTGGTTAGGAATCATAATGGTTAGTGAAGAAATAAAGATGACTGGAATGGAAACGGAAGGAGCTTTCCACAGTTTTTTTCTTTATATACTTATCAAGCATTAAAATTCATATCTAATTACAAAATAATCTTCTTCTTCAACTTGCCAATTAACCAAAAGAAAATTTGCTCAAGTTCAGAAGTATCAAATGCTCTTAAATGCATATTACAAATAAACCTGATTTGTGAAGAAATCAGGCACTTGCCTTTACAGTGAGAGGCCACCTGTTTGATCTCTATGGATATATCAGTGACTCATACCAAACAGCTCAGAATAAGGCTTACAGAGGTTAAAGTAGGGAAGGAACATTTAGTATTAGCAGATGCAGGTAATTGTAAATGATAATTCCAAAGGTGTCAATTGTTAAGTGAAGTGCTTTTGTTTAATGAGAATAACTTGTCATAAAAAAAAGAAACCTTTTAAAATCCATGGAAATTCGCAAAATAACAATCAAAAATTCTGATCTAGTTGGTGTGTATTTGCCTGAATATGTATCTTATTGTTGGGTGTATATTGGGTTTTTGTTGATGTGAATCTGCCTGTATGTGTATAACTGCCTGGAAATTTGTATCAACATGGATATTTTTACCTGTCTGGATATGCGTACCTGCCTGTGCATCTGCATGGATTGTATATCAACATGGAAAAATGTATCTGCCTGGATATGTGTATCTGCCTGGATATGTGTATCTGCATGGATTGTGTATCTACATGGATATATGTATCTGTCTGTATATGCGCATCTGCCTGGATATGTGTATCTGCATGAATTGTATATCTACATGGATATATGTATCTGCCTGGATATGTGTATCTGCCTGGATATGTGTATCTGCATGGAAATATGTATCTGCATGGATATATGTATCTGTCTGGATATGTGTATCTGCATGGATTGTATATCTACATGGATATATGTATCTGTCTGGATATGCGTATCTGCCTGGATATGTGTATCTGCATGGATATATGTATCTGTCTGGATATGCGTATCTGTCTGGATATGCGTATCTGCCTGGATAAGTGTATCTGCATGGATTGTATGTCTACATGGATATATGTATCTGTCTGGATATGCGTATCTGCCTGGATATGTGTATCTGCATGGATTGTATATCTACATGGATATATATATATATCTGCCTGGATATGGGTATCTGCCTGGATATGCGTATCTGCATGGATATGTGTAACTTCCTGAATAGGTGTTTCTGTAAGGATATGTCTCTACCTGGATATATAAACCTGCACGGATAAGTGTATCTATATGGATATATATCCATGGATATCTGGAGTGTGGATAGAGAGGAGATGCCTCACCTGGATTCTGTGCTGAATATTGCAAACATCTGTTTCTTTGACATGAAGCCAGCTTCAAGGTCGCGGATTTTCAGATTCTCCAAAGGCAGCATAAACTTCTTTTCTTTTTCCTACATATGGCAAGTGGGAGGGAGATAGTAAAAGAACGGGTAAATAATTTGGACTTACCCCACGGACCCATGTTCCACACAACTGGTTAAGTTCTAGCAGACATTCCTCACCCTTACCACATCTGCTTTCCTTTTTTGCCTTTCTAATAATCCCTTGTGAATTTTTTCTCTCAATTTCATTTGTAAAATTTAATTTAGTGGTGAAAAAAAGTTTCACAACAAAAGTAATTTTTCATTTTGACAAAATGCAGAATGTACGTCTCAGAACATCTTGAAGTTAAATGATGATAAACAAAATCAAGACTGAACACAAGGGTTTATTATAAGGTCACACAACAACTTCTCCCAAAATAAAAAAAAAGAGAAAATAGCAAAACATTTAAAAAGAAAATATGGAAAGAAGGAAGCAATCAGCCCAATATTCTGTTAGAAGTAATAATAGCATGAATTGAAAAAGAAAAAGCGGTTTTGAGATTATTTAGCGCTAAGCAAGCATTGCCATGCGGTGGAGATAGATACCAAGAGCCAACACCTTCCTCACATGCAAGTCAATATCAACTGGACATGCAGAACTATCTGGGGACTGGAATGATTCTTTTTTTTTATAATTCTTCAACTGAACCTGCTTAAAACAGTATTTCATTCCTGTACTCTTAACTTACCTTTATTTATAATCTTAAATACTATAAGAACAAGAGAGACTTGGCCCATCATTTTGTTTGTAATCTGTGAAAAGTACACTTGCCTGTGCTTTGGTAATATTCTTTCATTTCAGCAGCACGACAGTGTACAAAGGACAGTAAGGAGCTTTCTCTGCTCACAGATTACTATATTTCTTTTATTTTTGATGGTGTAGGGATTGGGAGTGCAATTTTGGGAATCCACAAAAATAGACAATAAATGCAAATACTCATGTACAAATCAACCTATAGGTGGCAGCACAATCTTCTGAATTCTACCAATAGATGGCAGCAGTGAGGAGTGTTTGTCTGCCCGCATTACCTTGAATAGGGGTTGAAGAGAACCAAGATAGGCTTGCGAGAAATTATGCCACCTTCATCCTCCCGCTGTTTCAAGTTGTCCAATGATAACATGAACTTCTTTTCCTTTTCCTGAAGGATGGAGAGAGAGAGAGAGAGAGAGAGTTGTCTCGGAGCCAAACCAGAAGCTCCCTTATCAAAGCTGCTGACAGCAGATGTTTCAACATTATTGAAGTGTAATAAAAAATAAGTAAGTGGCATATTTCCTAAAGATGTTCTGCAACCAAAATTTTGTGAACCCAAGTTTGAATAAAATGATAAAAACTAAAATACATACAGATTATTATAAAATAGGTACTTTTATAATCCATATTTTTCCACTAATGCTGGCTCTTAGTATCCGTCTTCCTTTCGCCATGAGCAATATTTTAGACACAAAATAAGGCTGCTGATCATGGGTACAGCCAAATGACGCAGTCGATGCAGAATTAAAACTTTGAAAATTTTGCAATATACTGAAGAATGAGAATGAGCCTAATTTAAATACCTGTCTAGAAGCAAAAGGCAGATTTCTTAATACAACATTTTAAAGTAGAAATCTGTAGTTCATTTTGAATATATAGAGATTCAAACATTAAGCACAAAATGATTTTATTAAAAATGGTTATTCATTCACTTTATGATACAAATTACTCATTTATTCCTTCATCAAAATCAAGCCACATTTTTTCAAACCTGCAGATAATATTTTTAGTAAAGTATTTTCATTAAATTATAAACACACAGAAATTTAAAAATACTTAGGTAAAAAACATACAGACAAAATCACAATTTGTAAGATAAAAGGTGTTTTTAGTTCATTCAGTTTCAATAATGCACCAGATGTCCACAGACATTGCAATGCTGAAAGCAAAGTTTGGCCTAAAGACAGGATCGCAACAGCAATACTGCAAAAGATGAAAATTTGGCAGAAGAAGGGAAAGCAAATCCCATTATAAGGCATTGAATTTCACATCATTTAACAGTTAAAATAAAATAAATACAAACAGAGAAATTAGAGCAATCATAAAGATCATACAAAACGTTCACTCCTCCTATTACCACAGCTTGACATTGTGTTGTGTGGTTTTTCAGGAAATACATGGAACTTGGACATTATTTAAACTTGCCACAGAAACTTTAACTTGTAGATAAATGAAATTAAATAAACAATGATAATACTTCACATAATGAATCAATGTTATTAAGTTTTTCTTTTCTGAATGCTATAAGATATTTTCAATGAATAGTGTTTCTGACTGAACTCTCAATAGAAACTTTAAAAATTCAGTTCACTTTTAATCAAATGAAATGGAATCTTTTCGGATGGTTCATAAAAAAATAAGAACATTTCACAAAGAAGTTTGGCTACTTTTAATAAAATAATAAACTCATTCACTCGAAAAAAAAGAAAAAAAAGTTTTTTCTCTTCCATGACATCTACCACATTTGCCAAGTAAGTTTCCTACCCCCAAATATCAAATACAATATCAACACAGTTTAAGAAACTGGATTCCACTACAGTTATCTTTAAATTATTTCCGGGTTATGAAAGGACAAAAAAAGTTTTATCAAATATCAAAGAAGTTCCCAAATACTGTGCAATGCCCTGGCGATTATTTCCTATAAAACAACTTTCTCACCTCTTCATCTTTGAACCATGAGATGGTCTCTGCTGTCAGGACAAACCAGAAGTCTTTAGAGCCACCCTTCATAAAGCTGATATTGTGCAAGGTTAACCAGCCCTTGCGAATCACCTGAAAATACGCAATTCAACAATATATCACTATCACTATTATAATCACCACATGAAAACTGAAAAAAAAGGCTTTTGCTTTTGATACCTTTGAGGGTCGAAATGTCATGCCTTATCATTAGAAAAACCTGTAAATCTTTTTTAGAAACCATTTACTTATCATTACACAAGAGACGAAAAAAAAAAAAACATTCACCACAGATGGAGATTAACATTTGATGAAATTCCTGATTGATACTGGATACTGAAATAATCATCTTTTAACAAAAGAGTTAGACAATGAAAATGCAGTGTCATTATAAATTTTTTTAAAGTAAGAGGTTTCATGTGCTTTGACCCCCAAAAATCAATTTATGAAGCAAATGCTCACCAGCAATAAAAACACTAAACACATAATATAAAATGAATCTTTAGTCAAGAAAGATGACTTTCTCATTAACTCATATTAAAATAAAAGATACAACATATCTTTGAAATCAAACAAAGATGAATTTTCTGAAAGCAAAAGAACATTTAATGCTAGCATTACTTATAACTCAAAGGCACAATTTAAGGCAAACATTTAGTTGAATCATACCTTTATTATTATCATTCATCAAATACAAAACCCTTCTATCTTCAAATATTTTTGTTAATCATAAACATTACAGGGCATTTTTAATAAGAACACTAATTACAAAAGCTGAAAATCAGTAAAATCTCAACAGAAAATAGTCAATTAAATTAATAAATTTTTTTGTTATCATAGCTTCAATGTTATGATAACAGGACCCTATAAAGGGACATTAGCTCCCATGCATTGATCATAAATAAGTCACAAAAACATCAATTTCTTTCTCAGCTCTGTCACAGTAATTGTGAATATTTCTTGTCTAGCTAAATGAATGTGCAAATTTCTTTCATTAAAAAAAAAAAGTCTCTTCTAAATCATTTCACTTTAAGTACCTGATTCTTGAGACCTCCCTGGAAAAGAAATGGAAAACTTACAATGCTTACAAAAATGTCTAAGGTTAGTTCACATAAAAACTTAAACTTAAACCAGAAATGGACTTCCTGAAGTCATCAAACATCCACATCATGCTCTTAAAACATGGTGGAAATTCTGAAGGTACAACTCACCCAAAACACAATATGGTTTATGGCAGTGAGGCTATGGTTAAATATTTTAAATGTATTGATTAGCCAAAAATTTATTTCTATGACTATTGTCGTGAAATATTTTTGAAATCTTTCAGGAAGATTGCTTATTATGAAATTTATACATGTAGGTCAATGGCGAATTAGAAATTACCATCTGCCCATTTGGACAGATTAATCCTCCAAAATAATCAGACTTGTTGAAAGGCTGTCACTATTGTTTGGAATTGGGTCAGAAGTTGTGAAGTTTTGCCCTGACTGGGTCCACCTTGACTCTAGAACTTCACACACTGATGGTTGTACAAGAAATGTACCAAAAATGAGCAACTGGTTCTTAGACTAGATAAGCAATTTGAGTCTTGATTTCATTCTTAACTTCATTCAACAGATGAAAAACATTCTTGGTTGATTTGTTTGGTAATACTTAATGTGATAATTTGATTTGGTTGGTATTGGGCACCACACATTCCCTGGCAGCTTGGAATGTCATCAGGTTCTCTGATAGAACTGTAATGTCTCCTGGGACCTTGGGAAGCTGACAGAGATGTCAATGACAATTTTGATGTCACTGTCAGTTTTCTTTGACACTCTGCAAGAAGCCAAGAGCTGTAAAACAGAATGATTTCTGGAGATAACCAAGAAGGGTGTTGTACCTGAATACAACTAATCACTTTTTACTCTTAAAAAAAAAAAAAGCCTGACGCTGACAATATAGCAACTAACCTGATTTCCTATTTTTCTTTTGGTTGTATTCTCCGATTTCTGTTGTGCACTAGAATAAACAAGGCAGCAAAGCTGTCAAATGTACAGACAAAAACCAGAAAATAAAAATGCAGGAAATAGGATACTGTCAATTCTGATGAACTAATGTATTATGCTTACTGTAACTGCATAGCCAACATCAAATTCTTATTCTGCATAACATTGGATTAGGATGAAAGTAAAATGTGTATCAAGCATTAGACTAAGTTCCCATACCTAGATCAATCTAACAGGATCAATCCAACTCCAAGGGGTTTCTCACTAAATTGCTTTCAGTTTGAGAGTCTTAGGATTCTTGCATGCCAGTTTCAGNAGTTCTGTAAGTTTCAAGCCAAAAGGTAAAATGGTTTTCCACTTATCGTGTTATCGGTGCTGCATATATGCTGAAAAAAGTGAAAAAACAGCATAAATTCCCTATAAGTGACCCGATCATGCTGATTTTCGAACTTGACCTGCGTATTATGAATATTCATCAGTTCTGTAAGTTTCAAGCCAAAAGGTAAAATGGTTTTCCACTTATCGTGTTATCGGTGCTGCATATATGCTGAAAAAAGTGAAAAAACAGCATAAATTCCCTATAAGTGACCCGATCATGCTGATTTTCGAACTTGACCTGCGTATTATGAATATTCATCAGTTCTGTAAGTTTCAAGCCAAAAGGTAAAATGGTTTTCCACTTATCGTGTTATCGGTGCTGCATATATGCTGAAAAAAGTGAAAAAACAGCATAAATTCCCTATAAGTGACCCGATCATGCTGATTTTCGAACTTGACCTGCGTATTATGAATATTCATCAGTTCTGTAAGTTTCAAGCCAAAAGGTAAAATGGTTTTCCACTTATCGTGTTATCGGTGCTGCATATATGCTGAAAAAAGTGAAAAAACAGCATAAATTCCCTATAAGTGACCCGATCATGCTGATTTTCGAACTTGACCTGCGTATTATGAATATTCATCAGTTCTGTAAGTTTCAAGCCAAAAGAAAAAATAGTTTTCCACTTATCGTGTTATCGGTAAAAGTGCACGGCGACGGCGACGACGGCGACAGCGACGGCGACGGCGACGACAGACGCAGATGATGGCTATATGTACAGACACATCTGTGTCTGTACATAAAAATCACACCAAAATTTAAGCATATATTGCAGGAGACCAATTTTGCAGTCACCGTTATTTATCTTTAACAAATATATGGAAACCTTCCAGTCATATCAGATAAGGAGACATTTATCTTTAATATGCCATTTTACTGACCAGATACTTGTGCTTAGAGACCTTGTTAATCAGCAACACTTTACTTTTAAAAGAGAATTGGAAAAAAATATAAAAATTTATTGCTTGTTTATAAAAATACCAATACTTCCTTTCAATGTACTAAAAGAACAAAGAGCATATTTTCCATAAAAATAAGATCAGAGAAAGTGACTGTAATAAGGGAAGACTAAGATTTCCAAACAAAAGTGACAAAAGGATATTGGGGGGGGAGGGGGGGGGGAGAGGAGGAGGAGGTAAGGTAACTTACTTGGCAAATCCTATAAAATCTTCATGATTAGTGTTCATATAAGACAGCTGTACATCCACCAGCAGTGTCACCTGTTCCTTGGCTTTCTGTTCATACTCTCGAATCCTGGAGTTGACAATTCTTTCTGTCTCCTCCTGCAGTGCTGGGTATCTGGCCATCTAGAGACAAAGACAGTAGTTGAGATATGATACTGAATGTGTGTGTGTGTGTGTGTGTGTGTGTGTGCACGCGCGAGTGCTTGCATGTGTGTGTGTCTGGTCTGTCTCCTCCTGGAGTACTGGGTATCTGGCCATCTAGAGACAAAGGCAGGGAGATGAGGTATGATACAATGTGCGTGCGTGCATGCATGTGTGTGTGTCCACCCTGAGAGATGGTTATTACCTTGCTAGCACACCAGTGCACCACACTTGTCAGCTCTGCCACCACCATGTCAATACACTTGATGGATGGCTCCTTCAGCTTCTCTATCTGTGTCTTCACTATGGTCTCAAAGGCCAAATCTGGGGTGAACAGACCAGTTCTGAGGAGAAATAAAACGAGAAAGTTGAAAAATAAAAGGCCAAATCTCGAGTGAACAGACCAGTTCAGAGGGGAAAATAACACGAGAACAATGAGAAAGATGTGAATTCAATATTCTTGACATGGCCAACAAAGTTCAGTTAATCACAATAATGAATACAGGCATAAAATGCAGCAGAATCATAATTTAAAGGCCCAAAATAAATTTTTTCACTTTTCACTAAGTTGAACTTCACCTTATACAAGCTACACTTGGTTTTGGATAATAACTAATTGGTATCAACGGGAAACATCGCAATTATCAAATTTCATTAAACTTGAGAGCATTTCAGCATGTCTGAGAGTTCAACTTCTCTTCAGTTATCTGATACATTACATATAGATAATAAAACAAAACAATACATATTAATTTACCTGATACCATGGATATTTTTGATAGCATAGCTTATTTCACGGCGTAACTGCTTTTCATCAAACTCTTTCTTGACCAGCTCAAATGGAAAACGTTCATGAAATACGCGGTTGATCTTGGCTCCACCAGTGAGTTCCATGGTGTTGATTTCTGTGCCAGAACCTTCAATATTCTTCTCAAAGTCAACTCCAAACTGCTGACACATCCTACAGATAGATAGAACAAAAGAATTGGTAACAGACAGTTAAAAGCACTGTTTACATAATATAAGTGCCCTTATTACACATAACACCAGAGTCCTTATTATACAAAGTGCAGAAGTCCTTACAGAACCTGCCTCAGAAATGATCTCAGTTAACAAAAAGTTAGAACATTAAGAAAGACATTAATCCCATGAGATAAGGCTTTGCTGTGCCACAGGAGAGAAAATTGGTCATAAAAAAAAAACAACATAAAACTTACTGCATCATAGCTTTAGTCTTCCTAGCTGGGTCATCTGGTCGGAAGTTTTTATACTCCTCCACTTCCTTCTCCATAGAGAGCAGCTGGGACTGGAGCTTGTTACGGAGTGCAGGGAGAGTGTCACGGATGTGATTGGTAAGTTGTTGATTCAGGATTCTCTGTAAGTATGGACTCCCCATCCTGTCAGCCACATGTCTGGAAATTATTTTACAATTTGGTAGAATCCCTTGCTACTACCCGCAACTGCCATATTCAGCAAACCCAAGAAATGTGTCCAAAATGTAAGATTTCAGATATTAATGTCAAAATTTAAGATAGTACATGAAGGCTTAAGAATTTTAATCTTTTATCTGTAAAATGTACACAGTACAAAGGCACACATGGAACACATTTTTATAAAACTCATGTTTATTATTATTATTATTATTATTATTATTATTATTATTATTATTAAGACCATGTTTTCAGTATTTATCCCCAGCACTGTCCCTCTCCTGTTACCTGTAGGATGGGTGGCTGAGAAAGAATTTTCTCTCTGCAGCAATGGCTGCCCTGATGTCTTTTCTGCCTTCTATGTCCTTCTGACTTCTGTTTACTATACCAATGTAACCTGTAAACAAGGCAGCAAAGCTGTCAAATGTGCAGACAACAAAACTGACTTCTGTTAACTATACCAATGTAACCTGTAAACAAGGCAGCAAAGCTGTCAAATGTGCAGACAACAAAACTGACTTCTGTTTACTATACCAATGTAACCTGTAAACAAGGCAGCAAAGCTGTCAAATGTGCAGACAACAAAACTGACTTCTGTTTACTATACCAATGTAACCTGTAAACAAGGCAGCAAAGCTGTCAAATGTGCAGACAACAAAACTGACTTCTGTTTACTATACCAATGTAACCTGTAAACAAGGCAGCAAAGCTGTCAAATGTGCAGACAACAAAACTGACTTCTGTTTACTATACCAATGTAACCTGTAAACAAGGCAGCAAAGCTGTCAAATGTGCAGACAACAAAACTGACTTCTGTTTACTATACCAATGTAACCTGTAAACAAGGCAGCAAAGCTGTCAAATGTGCAGACAACAAAACTGACTTCTGTTTACTATACCAATGTAACCTGTAAACAAGGCAGCAAAGCTGTCAAATGTGCAGACAACAAAACTGACTTCTGTTTACTATACCAATGTAACCTGTAAACAAGGCAGCAAAGCTGTCAAATGTGCAGACAACAAAACTGACTTCTGTTTACTATACCAATGTAACCTGTAAACAAGGCAGCAAAGCTGTCAAATGTGCAGACAACAAAACTGACTTCTGTTTACTATACCAATGTAACCTGTAAACAAGGCAGCAAAGCTGTCAAATGTGCAGACAACAAAACTGACTTCTGTTTACTATACCAATGTAACCTGTAAACAAGGCAGCAAAGCTGTCAAATGTGCAGACAACAAAACTGACTTCTGTTTACTATACCAATGTAACCTGTAAACAAGGCAGCAAAGCTGTCAAATGTGCATACAACAAAACTGACTTCTGGTCAACATTTTGATTCCATCATCACCAGTTACTACTAAAAAACATTGTTTTGGTAAACTTATACAAATAATCAATTTTGTTAAAATTAGCAATTTATTTCTGTATCAGGGTGTACAATAACATACTAACCTCTTGCCGACTGCATGTTTTTTGACATTCCATAAAATAACAATTATTTATACATATTCCTGATACTGACCTCTTCTTAATGGTAACAATTTATTTTCCAAGATGTCTCTGGCATCAGTGCCTTCATCCATCAAGTCTAGTTTGGTAATAACTCCTATTGTTCTCAGACCTAGGAAACATATATGAACAATTCTAAACAGTTCTAGCATCATGAGAATAACCTATCTTACACTTTTAAACAATTTTACTCCTGATATAAGTGACATACCATAGTTACAACTGTTAATTCTATCAGATCTTTTATAACATATTTTAGACCATTAATTATCATTAATCTTTATTATATTTAAGAATGTTAACAGACACAGTATGTTACTTGTAATACAAATGCAGATGCTCTTTGTCCACTTTTGATCATTCCTCAAACACTCACCCTGAGGGTCAACTTCTTTGGCAATCTTCAGAGCATCTGAGTTGGCCAAGTCACTGTTGGCTGGTGACACTGCCAGAATCAGGGTGTTCTCCGGGGTAATGAACTCCAGCAGCATGCTGCGTATTAAGGTCTCAATGTCCTGTGGCTGGTCCCCCACCGGCACCTTGGTCATCCCAGGCAAGTCGATCAGTGTCAGGTTTAACACTGGAAAAAAAATAAAGCCAACACTGGTCAGTAAATTTGTATTTACTAAAAGTTTACTCTTAGTCAGGATAAATTAGTGATATTACGAATGACGCTGTGGCAATTCATGAACATTAATTTCCATGAAACAATTTACATTTCACAGCCATTTTGTATCATTATATATTCTGTAATATTTTAGCTGTATTCCACAGTCCAAGTGGAAATTTTTATCCTTTTATATCAAAAACAGGCTCAATTAAAATGAACTTGACACTCTTACCCTCATTATAAATATTTTATTTTTTCATTTGAAAACAGAAAGTTGTTTGTAGAGTTACCATGAGGGGAATAAACCCTGAGGTTAATGGGGATGTTGGAGATGCCTTTATTTTTCCCTGTCACCCGATCTGTCTCATCCTCAATCTCTCTCCTGACAGCATCAAAATCTGTGAATTTCTTTCCCTTGCAGTGGATAAACTCAGCATATTCTGAAATTTAATTTGACATCAAAATATCATTATTAAAAAAATGTTCAAGGTTATTTCAACAGTATTCTTTACATGTAAATCAAACCAACAAACCACAAGCACTGCTAAATGTTTAAACAGCCTTTAACTAACATAAAATGTTCATCTAGGCAATGAAGTTCACAAAGTTATAAGAAACAGGTTTTACAAGTTTTAAGTTACATGTATGCAAGAATAAATGCAAATACTTCTCTTCTTAACATATGGCACGTTTGTTTACAGTTTACAGAAATTGTTTTGGTTACAAAATGTCTTTCTTTCTCGCTACTTAATTTGGGTTCATGTATTTTTTTCTATTTCTTCATTTGGCTTAAAGCTCCATCACTTTGGCAAGATGTTGAGCTAGTAGACTAAATGACTAGTCTAGCCTGTAAAAAGTGACTAACCTGTTGTGGCATTAATAAGCTGTAGCACTAGAGGTCTCCTTGTGACTATACCACTTCCTCTAGGCAGAAAATCCCTGGAAATAAAACATATATCTTAGGGACAATTTGCAGTGAATTTTGTTGACCCTGTACACCATCATCATGGGGACTCACGCTGAATGCAGTCAGACTGACAGACTTACAAGCTTCCTCTTGCTTCCAGTGTAATCCTATAATCACCTGTTTTTCTATATTCTACTCAAAGTACAGAAGACCTCACTAAAATAGACGGGACTTCTGGTAACATAAAAGGACGGGTTTTTAAGGAAATATTCTGGGGAGACATTCACAGCAGATCAAGGCTTTTCCCAGCAAACCATTCAGCCATCACTTGGACGGCCACCAGCATCACCACACAGACTATAATTTCAATGACAGCTTACAATTTCATTATTAAGTGACAGCTTGACTTGCCAGGATGGTCTGGAATATTCTTCAATTCATTCTGTTGGAATATGAGTTATATTTAAGTACTAAATTATAATTTTAAAATAATTTTTAATATATATTTCTTTTTTATTACTAGTATTTGTATCTCCCACCCTTTCGCTCATGGTATTTTTTTTTTTGAGACTTTGTAGGGCTTCCTGTAAATCCGCTACCAAATAGCACATTTTCCTTCTGGACTCCCTGTACCCCAAATCCTGGGAAAAGCCTTGCTTCACATGGAGTGATATTTTATTCCAGATTTCTATTAAGACTTGGTTTCAAATTAGTACAACATTTGTCTTTAGGAATACTTAAATCCAAAATGTCTATCACATTGGTCATTTACTGTTATGGTAAATGCTGTCCCAATATAAAAATGAACACGAGAGATGTTTGGTGGTTTGTCTACTCAGATATTGATTTCAGTCCTGGGTTAAAAGGCAGATGATCAATAATACAGTAATTTCAGCCCTGCTTGCTCTCCGTTAATGCAATCTTAGAGAAGGACTTCTGTTAAAACAGTCCTTTCTTTGGCTCTACCAAGACCAATCGCAGTGTTAAACTGTGTGGTGGCCACAGTTCAATTGCATTACCTCATGCAGAGTATTAGCATTTATGCATGATCTCTTTCTTTTGCCGTAGTTTATTTGTCCAATATTGATGTTTGATAACAGATACTTACTGAAAATTTAACAGAATTTACAACATTTCTTGTACACTGTTCTCATTAATTTCTGTTATCACTAAACATGTACTCCAGCTTTCTATACCCATATCATATATATGTTGCCATCTCTCATGGGTTACTGCTTATGTCAACTGATAGACAAGATATATTGATTTAAATTTATCTAAGCTTTTTGTCAGGAAATTTTGTCTCTGCTTGCATAGATTGGATATATACATACAGATAACAAATATGTGAAGTTCAAATAGTTAGGCAGTTTACAGGTGCGACATAGTGTCCTGCTCTTCTCAATAGGTCTCTCTCTCTCTCTCTCTCTCTGTGTGTGTGTGTGTGTGTGTTCTGACAAATAGTTGCTTTTTATATTTAAAATTTAAAACAAGAAGTTGCCCAGTAAAGAACCATTAACTTAACATAGTAATAATTCAGCAGTGCAAGGAAGAGGCTGTACTGTGTTACATAAACTCTTAATAAGGAGGCAGAAAATTCAAACAGTTTTGATAGTAAGAAAATATCACCCTGCTGAATGAGAGACAACATGCACCACACACAAGGGTCCATAACCATCCTCCATTCATTCCACACATGACCTCTTAATGATTATTGCTTTCCTTATTCAGGTAACACAGTTGTCAAATGCAACAGCAGGTAAATGACTCAGAACAACACTACGACAAAAACCAATTTGAATTATTAACGGAATAACAACACGTTCTTTACAAGCCACCTATGAGTGTGTGTACTCTTGTATTGACCAGTTGGCTTACAGACTTATGCAACCTGATCAATAGTAAAAGATCTCATTAAGAAGAGGTTGAATACGCATTGCTTCTATAGATATCTTGGTTTTGCTTAAGATGATAAACTATTGCTAAGATAAGTAAAACATCTATTTATCTAGATACTTTGGAAGAAAATGATTTACCCGAGGAACACAATCTTAACAGTGTTTTGGATCATAAGCTGTCACTGATTTTTATCTGCCAATTTTATAAATTAACAACATTTTCTTTCAGAACAAAGATAATTGTCTTTATAAATTTTCAAAACAAAAATATTTCAAAATATTATCCACCATGAAGCTTGACGCTATAAGTGCTGTCTTTCCATGAACTAACCATGAACCATTTCTAGCACGATAAATCAGGGTAAGTAGTGAAATAATTCAACTATCTGAATTTCCAAAACATCTCCAAATCCAGATCCTAGTCCAATGATATTCCTTGCCAGCAGTGATTTTTATCTATTTTATTTTTTGTTTCATGAGATAAATGACACTGGATCAATAAGTGAGTGCACACATGAAATGCTAGCATAGTAAAACAGAATTCTACACTGCTCAAAAGAAATGAAGGAACACCGAGAAAATAAGATTTTAAAATTGAACGTTTACTGTCCAAAATCTTATAATGTAAATAAATTGTAACTGTAAACAATACATTTACTAGTATAGAATTGTGCACTGTGTTTGACCTTAACTATCTACTGTAGTATCATTACTATCTAGTATCATAATCATTGCAAATGAGCATGAAAAGGAAGAGGAGTCAAAATTTAAATTCACAGCTCTAAGACTATTTTCAGTACATCACATGTGTCCACCTCTGGAAACCACGTCTTTTACAATGCCTCTCCATAGTGCAATTACTATCTGGGAAACTGCTTTGAATGTGCTTATTGAGATCTACTGGTGGATGGTGATTCTACTGAAATCATAGGGGTAGGTGGTTCTATAAGGGTGCATATCGGGCAAATGGGCAGGGCATTCCTTTCTGAAGACATTCCTCTGCCAAAGGAAATCTGCTGCAATTCTTGCACAGTGAGGACATGGGTTGTTAACTTTTAGAATGTTTCCATTACACCTCCACCACCATATTAGTGGTGCTGGCTTATGGTCGTGTCTAACTGGACTTGCCTGTACATGGGAATTCTGCCATTGCTATTCAGGGCTATAAATCTGATCTCAGTAAAGTCATTTAGTTACCATTTTTGATGAGTCCTGCGTTTGTGATGGGTTGACAATATCATGCAAGCTGTTCTGTCTTGTCAGTAATATTGGTTAAACTGCCTAGAACCTTGCGCAGAGAGTTTACTACCTTTCATGGCTTCTAACAGTATGGTCATTGATGATAAGGTTAGTGACTGTTGGGGAATACTTGTAGCATTCAAGCAATGGCAGTAAGGTTCAGCATGTCAGACAAATAACCAAAATGATCCTTAACTGGGGTTTTGACACAGTGTCAAATTGACCTGGGTCTGTTGACTAACTCCCTGTTCCTGTTAACCTCTGACTGAGCCAGTGAGTTACTGAAGGATTTGCATCATGTCTCCTGATGGTATCTTGCCAACCAAAGCTTGCATTTAATAACCTTATGATTCTCTCTCTCAATCCTTCAGTGACAAACCATGATGTTTGGGCATGGCAAGAAAATATTTTAGTCAAAGCTCTTGTAATGCGATTCTTGTGATTGCTACTCAGTTGGGTGACTGCAACCATGTTATCTACTTATCAGAACCTCAATTTTCATCTTAGTAACTCTCAGGAAGTTGTGAGGTCTTCTAGTCCTGGTTTCTGGTCTTACTTGTTTTACCCAATCTTAAATGGTACGTGTTCCCTCATCATTATTGCTAATTTTTGAGGCACTGACAGCTAGTATCTTTCACTTCCAGACCCCCCACCTGCTTTAACCTTTAAGTGATCAGTGCCAAAGGGGGGGGGGGGCGGGGAGGGGAGGGCAGCAGGTTCACGGAAGGTCTCATATCACAGAGACCCAGAGGTGGATACACTTACCACAATGGCATTCATACAGAGCTGCTTTCATAATACATCATACAGAACGGACGGCCTCATTTTACAGTGTTAGACTATCAAAGAGGAATTCCATGAATGGCAGGGCAAGGGCACCTGACACTGAGCTAGTAGCACTATTTTTGAGCATAGCTATGAGGAAGTGAATTTGACAAGTATAGTTGGAGATGGGCTAATGAGGGTTAAAAATGTGTACTCATATGTTGTCCAAAAAAAAAAAAAAGGAAACAGACTTGTTTGTTCTCAACTCTTGACCATACAATAAAAAATAGAATAACGTAATATTAATGATTATATTATTAAGTCAGTTTATTAATTGTCAACGAAAAATATTCCTAGTTGGTAATTAACGGAGGGCCTAAAGTGTCCTAAATCATTAAGTAAATGTAAAATAATGCAACACCTTAGTAAAATATTTCTACCCTTCACAATAGCTGTTAACAAATTCAAATTCTCTTTACATTTTGCGAAAATCATTAACTGACTGGATGCTGTTTTAAATATAAGAAAATCAATGCCTACCTTCCTACAAAATTCTCAAGTACACTGGACTTCCCAGCGCTCTGGCTACCGACGACGGCAATTTGGGGTAAATCTAGCGACAATGGAAGGCCTAGAGAAGCAAACGCATCTTGGAGTTTGTTGACAATTGGGATGAGATGTTCCATCCCAGTATTCCCTGCCATTTTGATAAATTTGAGTTCCTCCCCTTTATCTTCTTGTGAATATGGCGGAACCTCTTCCTGTTATAAGGCCGCTTGTGGCAAAATAAAATATTTGTTTTTTATTTCTAGCGACAAAACGTCTGCGCATGTGCGTAATAGCTGCGCCGCTTAGTAAACATGCGGTAAATAATCATATGATGTCGTTAAATTACCTTATTTTGTATAACCTGAGAGTCGTTTGCATAAACAGAAAATATTGTTCCCTTGAAGGAAGTGCGGTGGAGTTTTGGCTATTTGTAACTGATGATCTCAGTGTAGCTCTTCTGTGTGGAAGGTTATAAAGTTAGTCCCTCACACGCCACTACCGAGCCAGGCGGTCAGGTTGCAGGTAAAACATTGCGACAGTATTTTAGCTATGATATAATCATTGAAACGACGTCCAGTCCAACTTTTGTGCTGAATGTATATTTAATTATTCGGGTCAAAGCATAAGTGATTAGACACTTGATATCCCAGTTAAAATGCAATAGTGACTGTTGTAAATAACCTTTAAAATATACACTGTATACATGTACATGGGCTAGGGTTACATGTAGAAAGTGTTCAGGATTCTACCTGATTTCAGGATTTTCAGTTGTCATTTTGACCGTAATTTTCAAATGGTCCGAATGCGATGAGAAATTGCAAGCTATGGTTTCAAGATTTTCAGTTTTTACAACTTCACCCGTGGTATTATTTGTAATTTCAAATTTTTGACTGGCGTCAGGCTCATAACCGTGGGTGTTTGAATGGACTGCCATTTTTACTGGGAAAAGTCCGCTTAGGGTAAAGTTTGACTACTGGTAGGTACTTGAAGGTTTCATTGTAAAAGGTCCACGTTTTCAAAAAGACCCCCCCCCCCCCCTTTAAATTCCTGACTATGGACCTGAGCCCAGCATCTCTTTTTGAGGGCAATTTTCTCGGGTTAGTGCTCACTGACAGTGCACACAGTTGTCTTACTCTTAAATATTAGGGCAAACTTGATTTACTCATGAAATATTTGATAGTTTTTAAATTTTTTCTTTCTTCCAGAGGAATTAGGTGATGTCAGTCATAAGGGGTGCAGTAGATGCCTTTGGGGCACTGAATGGGGTGTTTTGTATATACAAACCTAAGGCCAAGCACATGTTTCATTTGGTCAATGAATTGAAGTTTAAGCTTCATAAAGGTTAGGATATAATAAAAATACGAATAGCATACAGTATGTTCTTGCTGATTTATGATAGTTTACTTGTTTGTAGATAAAAGACAATTTATGATCAAAATTTTTCAGTCTGATAACTGTTAGCCTAATCATTTTTCAACCAAAAAAATTAGAAATAATTTATGGAATAAAATGCTCTTGATGAAATGTAAGGAACTGACAAAAAATGCCCAAATACCTTGTTGATTATTGCATTCTATTTCTTTTCCATAGAACTAAGTCTGTTGCCAGGGCCAATGCTAGATAAGCGTAGAGTGACATTACCAAGTGTCAGTGAAACCACCAACTTGCCTATCACTGTCACACTTCCCGACTTGAGAAACCATCCAAGAGGTATTTCGAGTTTGAGTTTTTTCTTTTCTTTTTGCTTCTTTCTTATTAATTTTTATATTTTTAATTAGAAAAGAAAAAAAAAAAAGAACATGACATTTAAGTAAATGTTATTGAAACAATGAAAAGTCTTAAGGTTCTGTTTGCTGTACATTTCAGTGATAGGAGATTTTGTGATGAAAGAAGACATCAAGATGTCATTTATTGATCCCCTGCATAAATATGGCACAGGAGTCCAGTGTAAGTAGACACCAGGGGACGGAACATAGTCCTCTCTGACCACAGCTTGTGGTAATTAGAAGTCTCTTACAAATTTTTGAATCAACCCCTCTTGGAATCAAAAAGCAGTTTACTATAGTAATTGGATCATTTTTATTTTATTTTATTTTTACATTCAGTATATATTATTGTTGACATTGTAATAATTTAGTTTTATCTTTGTACAATGGCAGTGATGGGTATAGCTGATGGGTGTGGCCAACTGCAGCGTTTGGTGAAAGCTAAGCTAGTGCAGGTAAGACGCTGTTTTTTTTTGTTTTTTTTTTTCTAAATTCTGACTTATGAAAAATCCAGGATGATGTGCAGGCCCCTAGCCAGCAATTTCAAAAGGGGGGTTCTTTTTCTAAAAAAAGTGGACCTTTTCCCATAAAACCTTCATGTAGGCCTACCTAGATCAAATTTTACCCAGAGTGGACCTTTTCCAGCAAAAGGGTGGTTCTTCCGACCCCCCCCCCCCGACCCCTTGCTACGGGCCTGATGTGTAATTTTAAGTTCAGGGAAACTGAAATCTTCAGTTTCAACAATATACTTCCCAAAAGTCAAAAATTAAATTGTCTTGAAGATAAAGGGTACCGGAAGAGACGAGAATTAGTTAAAATTGTGCCAGAAGTATGATGTCATGTGACATAAAGTGGTGTTAGAAGCAAAGCTGAGTGGTCATTTTAAGCTGGAGGTGAACGGGAGAGAAGACGTGTGGTCAGAGGAAAAATCAGTTTTCCAAACAACATGGTAAGGTAACATTTTTTCTTTACGCAGAGAATACTTGTAGTTCTGTTATTTCTAAATAATAGGTGCATGATATGAAAATGTGACACGAAACTTGAAGGTGCAAAATCCTGCTTAATTTGCAGTCATTTTGTTTTAAATACATGCTGCATCAGAATGTCACCTTTGTCTTGGCATTTGTCAGATTGGTGCCTACCCCGGTGTAAAAGGTGTATTAGTGTGATCATATGTGTGATCATATGATGTCAGATGGACATATAAAGATCTAAAAATTGATCACAATATTAGAAAAAAGATGCATCTTTGCACAGCAGTCGTAGATCGGTACGATTCAGTTGTTAGTTACCAACTACGTACTTCCTGGTTTTCACAAGGTCCTTCAAGACCTCTAAAACATCGTTATAATTGCAGCACATACCACAAAACACCCAAAAATACTTAGATATGGACATATCAGATTATATAAATGCCAAAATTCCACATGACAACAATTTATAGCCTCCCGGGAATTCTTTTCCCTTGACGCTCTTTGTCACACTGGCGGTCGATGCAGCATGTATTTCAAAACAAATTGACTGCAAATTAAGCACGATTTTGCACCTTCAAGTTCCGTGTCACGTTTTCATATCATGTACCTATTATTTCTATAAGTATTCTCTGCCCAAAATGCGTGAAGAAAAAGAGTTATCTTACCATGTTGTTTGGAAAACTGCTTTTTCCTCCGACTATACGTCTTCTCTCCCGTTCACCTCCAGGTTAAAATGACCACTCAGCTTGGCTTCTAACACCACTACACGTCACTTCCGGGCACAATCAGTCTTCTCCGGTTCCCTTTATTGAATGCTGATTGTCAAAGTAACAGAAAAATTTTTATCTATTTTTGTTAATTAGTTTGTTCAGTGTGTTATGCAGAACTATATCAGATATTAGCATTATAAAACTCTGGGACCAAGGTTGCTCAACTCTTCAGTATAACTAAGAATTTTTTATCATCAATCAATGCCTGGACAACTGTCAGTAGTTGGTGACATTATTTAAATATGATATATATTCCATTGGCCATGTTTCTTCCTTTTCAGAATAAGAGTAAGTTTAATCGGAATTAGTCAGAATGACATCTTTAGGTCTAGACTGACCATTTTATTTATTACCTATCAAAGAACCTTGGTCACATGACTGACTCATGGGGCCCTCAACCCTGATCAGGGCCTGCACCCCTCCCAACCCCCCATCCCCCCCCCAACCCCATCTGCTACAACATCCTTAATTACTCCTAAAGCTCACCAACAAGTCAGTCCTGTGATAAAGGTTATGCATTGAATTATTATGCCGCATAGGTGGCAATGACAAGTCTCTTCAAAATGATTTACCCTTTTTTACCATCTTTGGACAAGAAATTCTGAAAAAAGGTATGACAGTTGTATCTTGTTGTTGGCATTTTGCAGGTGTATCACATTAGTGGGGAGCTGGGCTATGCCACAGAAACTTTCTCCGAAGGTGGCCGGCTTGTTGAGAAGTCAACATGGTGTAAGTAACCATATACCGCAGTATCCTGTATCACATTATCATGTTGTCGCCACATTTTCATGTACCATACCATTACCATATTATCATGTCGTCACATTATCACATACCCTGTTATCACATTATCATGTTGTCGTCACATCACATACCCTGTTATCACATTATCATGTTGTGGTCACATCACATACCCTGTTATCACATCACATTTTCGTCACATTATCACATACCCTGTTATCACATTATCATGTTGTCGTCACATTATCACATACCACCCTGAGTTTCAGAGGTAACTGGAAAGGCATGTTCAGGGTGTCAGGGTGTCACAGGCAATCTGTCTGTTAATGAGACTATTGAATGATGTATTTTCAGTGCACACTTAGTAAGATAAGGTTATAGGGAAATATTTTTTTCCGTCCAATAATTCTTCCCAAAGTAACAATCTTGGCATTTAGCTCAGCAGCCAGGTCATATATCATGGCTCCTTGGAGACAAAGATTATATGAATGATAACATTTAGTCACTCTGTGCATGTATTCTTTAGAGTAATAGAGAGATACAATGTCAGGGATTTGACTACTTAAAGAATCTACTTGAGTTTTGGTAGTTTACACCCCCCCCCCCCCCCCCACACACACACACACACACACACACACACACACACACACACTTGCATTATCATGCCTCTTTTATTTAATTATTTTTTATTTAATGTTTTTGCATTTTAATGTTTAACACAGTAGTAGCATCCACATTGCTGGCACATGATCAATAATTACTTTTGTTGATATGTTATTTTCAGATCATGTAAATCGTTCAAGGCTGGATCGTGTAATTGCTATGATTCAATCAGCCCATCAGAAACACCAATACCTGTAAGTTATATTCACCAGGCTATTGCTGACAAAGACATATACTCGAAAATCATCTTTATAACATAACTTTTGTGTTGAATAATTGTTTTGTAATAAAACATTTTTTGTTCAATTAATACAATGGAACACTAATTCACCAGACTATTTTTAATGGTACCAGTTGATTGCGGGATTGCAAATTCAGGCCCATAACCAGCAATTTATTGAAAAAGTGCTGTTTAGCTCAAAACCTGTGTGCTTAGATCATTTTTTTATCCAGAGCAGACCGCCAAAAAGGGCATTTCGTAAGAATCCCCCCCCTCCCCTCCCCAGCTAGAAGCCTGTAAATTTAATGCTTTCCAGGATGATTTTGACTTTGTGAAAATGGGGGAAATACTTATCCCCCCCCCCCCCACCAAAAAATAAATAAATAAATAAAATAATATTAATAACTAGACTGCAACTGGCTGAAGCCAGTGACGGAGGATTCCCCAGCAAAATAGGTGTGGAAATGCTCTTACAAGGTCATGTGAAGGTCATGGGTTAAATTTGACCCCATATTCTGAAAGAGCATGTGCGAATGGGGGGGGGGGGGGG